GCCCGCTTGTTTTGCAGCAGGAGTTTAGTCACAGTGTAGAGTGCCAAAATCTCAAATGGATGGTTCCACACGAGTAACCTGAACTTCTGCGCAAAGCAGAAATCGTACCCTAGCATCAAAACTTCTTGACACGAAGATATCTTCGTGGACACGAAGATATCTTCGTGGCAGAACTACATGAAATTGATGCGAGCGATGATCACTCATCCGGCTTCTCACCAACAGAAAGAAGGACATCCTCGTCCTCCACATCCATCTCATCGGCCACGTCCTGGGTGTTCTGTGGGCGAAGGCGTTTGTGAGGCGGCGGCGACGAGGGGCGGAAAGACGCATTGGGAAGCGAGGCACATCTTCAAGTTCTTGCTTCACCTGGACAAGCTTTGGCTGTGAAAGAGAAGCTTCTGCGGCACTGACTCTGTTCGGCTTGGGGCTTGAGTACCTGTTGTTGTCAATGTCCGGGACAAAGGCAGAGGGGATGTTCGCATCGGTCTTCGGGACAAAGTCAGGAGAAACGTAACCAGAAAATGGTAACTTGGGCTTGATCTCCCGCTGGATCTGGATCTCCCGGCGATCGGAACTGCCGGACGAACGGCGTATGACCTGAGTTCGGGGGGGCTTCTTTCCTGACTCACACAACATAGCCATCAGATCCAGGCTCCACTGTCGCTTTGTGGCCCAGTTCTCAGGAGGCTCTGTGATGCCGTCGTACAGCGACCCAAGATCTCGTGGCCTTCCGGGCTGATGAAGTCTGTCACGCCGCCTATGTAGGGAATGCGGCGAACGTTGTCCTTCGAAGTCCCTGCAGGCCGAAGATAAACAGCCCCAGGCATGTTGACGATCCAATGCGCCCGCTTGTAGCAAGCCATTTCGTCTTGCGAGCTAGCTTTTTCCGGAAAAGCTGGCGCCGTCATCTCCATAAACGTCTCGAACTTCACACTCATGGCACCCTCGGGCGTACCTTTCTCCGCATCCTCGTCGACTTTATTGTCACACAATATACGCAGCTGGCCCTTGACAAAGCGGGCTGCAGTCCACCGCTCGACGGTATGAGTCTCGACGAGGCTCGAATCCAGGAAACTCTTCAGTTTCGTCACCGGGATGGAAGACGAATCACCGTCATCCAGGATATCTGGCCTGTTTTTGAGGCCAGACTCACCGCGAAGTTGGTCCAGGGAAGAGCAGATGCGGAAACCCGGAGAATACTCGGACTCCATGCCATCCTTCAGAATGAGATACTCCGAGAAACACATGGCAATGGCCTGGGCAACCGGTGTTTTGCCTTTTTCTGCCAAGCCCATGAACACAATTGTTTTAGAACGCAGGTCGCCCAAGATGTGGATGAGCACCTCGTCCAAGAACCAGCCAGCTATGTCGTGGAGGGTCAGCGGGAACTTGTGGTCCGGCTAGGCGTACACATTGCCTGCGCTGAGACTGCGAAGGCATTCCTTTAACAGACCAGCAGACCAGCCGTTCAAGGGACTGTCAGAGCGATGCGTTTCTATTTCCGCCCACTCAGTCTGTTGGTTATTGACATTAGTCTTTGGTCCCTGAGCTCTGATGTAATCGAAGCCCACACGTAGATCGTTCTGGTCCTGCTTGGGCTTGTTGTCCTTTGTGGGAACTTTGGGAGCAAGCTGAGTGTAGTGCGCGAACCAGTGGGGCATCTTCTTCAACATACACTGCACGGCAAGGGGTCCAACGCGATAGTTTGGAGTGTAGTCCAACAGGTACACAGTTCCATGAGCGATCTCATTCACATTCCGCAAGGATGTTTTCTCCGGGAAGATAAACTGCTTCAGTACCACACAGTGCGTCCGTCATGCTGGACTTCATCATGGCAATCTGCATCTTGTAGGACTTATGTAACGGCACTTTGGGAGCAAAGGGAGCAGGCAAGTCATCATGATTGTTCTGCAACATGTGTTCCTCGAGCAATCCAAAGTCCACATTATCCAGCGGAACGTCTTTGATGATATCTAAGAAGCTTTTGGCCTCTGTCTGCGCGGCGAGATGCTTCAAGGGAAGATCATCAACACAACCGAAGGTGTCGTCCTGGCGCAAGAAAAGGGGAACCTCATACTGTGCGACGTCATAAATCTTGATTTCCTCTAGGGCATGAATGTACACCGGAGAAGCCATTGCTTGGAAGCGTGGGCAAACACTGCTAAGTTTATAAACCGGCCCGGGGTTTATAGACCCATGTTGTTTGCAAAGTTTATCATGTAGTCGATGCATCCATGAAGTGGTTTCATTGAAGCATGAGTCTCCTTATGCCAGCCCTATCACTGTTTGCAAGGCAAACATTGGTTTGAAGAAATCAAAGGCTGTCTGCAAAGTTTATGATGAAGTCGATGCATGACCGCAGTGTTGTCAAGCAAACTTGGTGCTCCGTATGCCAGCCCTAGCACTGTTTGCATGACAAACATCGATAGAGCAGAACATGCAATGCATTTTTGCCCTTCAGCCCCGCCGGCATCTATAGTCAAAGACGACACGGAAAATCACGCGGCATCCCAGGCCATCTTGGCCTTGTGAACCTCCCGCAGAAGATTGGCTATGATCTCCTTCTTATCATCAGACCCTCCGGTTCTCTTATCGAACAACCAAGCGGCGGATCGCCACGCATCCAACCAGTCACCGTCCCAACCGTCCACCTCTAACTCCAACTGGTACATGTCGTCCAAGGCGGCGGCCTCCTTGTTCTCAGACGGCTTCTGGTCGTCATCCAAGGCAATGTTCTCGCGCGGCTTCTGGGCACCATCCGAGGAAGTACTGTAGAAGCGTCTGAATCCGATTCGGCTTCCTCCGATTCACTCTGCTCCTCAGACCCCGATGATGAAGACGATGACGATGAAGCAACGGGCTTGTCGATGTTAGGTGTAGGCGCGGGAGACGTGGAAGCTGATGAAGTGGCTGTTGTCTTAGAATCATCACGGTCATCATCTGTTCGCTTACGCTTGCGTTCTTCACGATTTGGGTCGTCAGTCAGTGCAAGGAGTGGTTCTTGCTTCCATCCTTTCATGGCCTTCAAGAACCAAGCGTTGAGCTTCTCCTGGAGCTCATTGTTCCACAGACCCCTAGCTCCGCGAGCTACGTTGCACCTTTCTGTAAGTAGTTGATATGCACTGCCAACTGCTTTTTGGTGATGTTTCTCTTGCTCTCGTGCACAACAACGGTGCCATTCTGGATGCCATGGATTACTGTCTCTGGCTTCGGAACTGGAATTGTTTCGCCATCTCTCGCCGTCGAACAAGTAGAAGAAGATGCATGCGGGGACGTGACATTGGACAATCTAAATACGCACTCTCCGTTAGCAACCTCGAAGGTTCCAACTACGGCTGCTTTTCGCAGCATGCCGTTAGCGCTTTGGCTATCTACACTGTGTCTCGATAGCTGTAGTGGCTTCACGACACTTGACTGCACACGTACTGAGCAAACGACTGGTTTATAAACTCACGGCTTGCTGCTGTACATCCAGCAGTGGATAAGTTGCGACTGCGCTCCTTGTGTTTGTTTACTGAAGGGGGGGCTCAAATGCAGACGAGGCGCGCATTCTTTTAGGGATCGGGTATTTTTACAACACAAACGTAGTTTATAAACTCTCTCTGCCTGGTAACGACTGTATGTGTAAAAAGGAATCAACAGTAGATATACGTAACTAGTCACATAACAAGCAGTACCCAGCTATAGTATAGAAGGTTCTCGGCATTAGGGAACCACGGCGCATGCCGAGTGCAGGCGGCTGACCTGAGGCAGGGAAGTTTGGCCCTAACCCCGAAAACCATTTCACCATTTCACCAGGCCCTAACCCCAAAACCATTTCACCATTTCACCAATTAGTTTGGCCCTAACCCTAAAACCATTTCACCATTTCACCAATTAGTTTGGCCCTAACCCCAAAACCATTTCACCAATTAGTTTGGCCCTAACACCAAAACCATTTCACCATTTCACCAATTAGTTTGGCCCTAACCCCAAAACCATTTCACCATTTCACCAATTAGCTCTGATCATATGGGGGAAAGGAATGGTGAAATGGTGACATGGTGAACTGGCCTGACCATATGGGGGAAAAGAATGGTGAAATGAACTGGCCTGACCATATGGGGGAAAGGAATGGTGAAATGGTGAACTGGTGAATGTGTGACTTGTTGTGCGAAGCCAGGAAATGCAGGGGGGGATATAACATTTCCCATTACATATATATATATATATATATATATGTGCCCCACCTCTGAATCCCCTCCCACCACCCCCTCGCAAAGCGGCCCCCTGACCCCCACCCCCACCCCCCCTCCGCCCCCCTCCTCTGTGTGAACCCCATGAATTGCCCCCAATCTCGCCTCCCGGTGGCCCTCCCCCTCCGCTGGTCTACTCCAGGTTCCGGCGCCTGCAAGATCTTGCTTCAAGAATTCTCTTCAGCAAGGCAACCTTTCACAGGGTAGCGACGCAAGCTCCGGCTGCTTCCCTTAGACAAACACCTCCAACCAATTCAGCACATACGTGTGCAGCCAGGCCAAGGCGGGCGACGCGAAGCGTTTAAAATTATTCTGCATGTGTCTATGTATATGTGGATCTGTATATATATATATACATATATATATACATATATATATATACATATGCATATATATATATGTGTGTGTGTGTTTACGTATCGGCTTCTGGGACTTTGATGCTTTGTGAGCTGGGGCTTGGGCAGTCTGTGTCTACACACAGAGACATGCGTACCTCTCAGCGTGTGTATGCGTGTATGTCGGTTTCTGTATGTAACTTCGTGTATGGTTGTGTATAAAACCACCTTGGCAGGTGTAGCATTAGGGGTTTTGGAGCTCAGCTTGGCTAGGGGGAGAGGGTTCTTCGAGGCCTGAATCCAAAGGGTTCGGGGATGGGGTCCACACTTGTTGGTTCAGGGTTTAGAGAATTTGCGGTAAATGCAACGTGACATGAGCACGAGCAGATGCAACTCCCGCGCTTTTTCTCGAAAACAAAGAGGTTTATGGTATGTGATTTGGTCTCTGCTCATGGAGCGTGCAGAAGCAGATGGAGGAGGTAATTCCCCTAAACCCTAAGCCCTAAGCCCTACACCCGAAACTGTTTCTTCTTGCCGTATACAACACACGACTATGGAAGCAGTAGCTCGTCAGCGAGTATAGAGTCGGGATGCACGGTGTAAGTCTCTCTTAAAGCTGCCGCTGAGAACAAACGTAGCCCGGAATGCTCGCCTACGCCCCTTATAACACAATATATGGCACAATATAGAGCCACATTACACTGTTTTATGCTATCTTACTATACAATACTATATTACTATACTATGCTATACTCTATCCTACTGAGTTTTACCATATTTGACGAGAATTCTAGTTTCTGTATTGCCCCACCCATTTGCCATGAGAATTCGCCCACAAGGGAGGTAGTATAGGCCTCAAGGCCTGAGCAAGGGTGGAACCGAGCCACTACAAAATCTTCTGCCCCTGTCAGCCACGGGTTTAGGGTTTAGAGCTTGGGGTCTGGGCTTCAGGGCTTGCCTTCGAAGTTACACGAAACCATGAAGCAACCCTTGTATTTGGAGAGTGTTTTGTCGTGGCCCAGATGGTGCGGACTGCTGCGCTCCTGGCTCCTGGCTTGCTGTTGGGCTTGTCCTGGCCATGCTTACGAGTATCACTATTGTGACCACGAGACGTCTGACTCTCGCCATTCTCAGTACCACCGCTGTCCTCGTAAACTTTACTGCTCTCCAAGTTCGTTCAGGAAGTGGTACAAGACATCATGGAGTGAGCGCTGTTTAGAGTGTGCGTGGCTTTTGGGTCTTGGGGTCTTGTCGTCCAGGGCGGTTCGTTCGTCTTCAAGCGACTGTTTGGTGTAGCCGGAACGAAGAACTGCGGCTGCGGGCTGGAGGATGAAACCCTAAACGCTCATATCGGGGCCAATAGGGTTTTGCTGTACTGTAGATTCTGCAGAGAACTCTGCTTGGGACTATAACGCGGTAGGGGGCACCATTGCTCTGCATTCCGATTCCCATATCGCCCAACTCAGAACCCAGGATTCTGTTCTTATAGACTGGATTTACATTGCATTCTGCAAGGCTTTCTTGGCAAGCCAGGAGGGAGCCAGCACGAGGAGCTCTTTGAAAAAAGCTCCGGGCTCTTGTTGAGGAAAGCCTGGTGTTTTTTAGTATACGGCCATTTCTGGTAACTCACATCACGATCCTCAAAAAGAACGCAGGAGCTGGAAATCTACGCCTAAACCCGAAGCCCAAGGCTCCAAAACCCGTAAGCCTGCGAGGTCCCCGAAA